AGTTAAAATTTTTTATGAATTAGTTGATAAAAAGAAACAGAAGAAGCGAAGGTACATGAAGGCGAGGCGAGACGTGGCGCGGTTTTTTATATAACTTAGTATTTAGTCGAAGAGCAGAGTAAGAAGAAGCACCATAAATAATATACCGAATTCAACCGATCCTTAAACCACAGCAGGAATTATGTGCAACTTGGTTTAGCCTAAAGCGCGAAAGCAATTAGGCCAAATCGACTTGCGCATAGTCGCAACTTCTTACTTAGTTACGTAGCATACCCTATATAGATGCATATCCTATAAAACCCCAACCATAGCTCACAAATCACAAGATGAATAAATAATATTGTAGTACGCGTGCCATTGAAGGCAAGAAAAGCAAACGACAAAAAAAAATTTTTCACTAAAAGATATTCAAAATCAATTTACATTTATCTCTGCACTTAGTTCCATTTTACACGCACACACATACATTTTCTTTATATAGTTTACTTTTTTCATATATGTAATTAACGTGTTTTGTTTTGAGTGTGTAAATCTTTTTTTTTTTTTGGATTAGGCGAAAGATTTGTATTTTTTTTTATATATATTGAATGCAAAAACCCGCTGAGTATACAATATTATTTGTATTTCGTGCATTATTTCCAATGTAAATAATAATAATTTATTTCATAAATAAAACAATGATCATTTTAACTAAATTGTCTGMTTGTTTGATTTCTTTTTTTTTATTTTGAATTGCGCGCTAGAAGCCATTTATCGACAAACAAGCAAATTTGAATTGCGCGCCATGGTAAATAATACGCCACCTATTGTTCAGGAACTCAAAAATGCGTTGTGTGCTCCAACTAGACTACGCGCACTCATGCGTGCGCACTATCGATAAAAAAAATATATGGCCGATAGGTGCCGCTCTCACGCTTGCAACCCTGTCAGCACGCCATGTTTGTGCGACAGCTGCTGTCAAATTGACATTCGCTTGATTCGCCTCTCTTTCGCTCTTTCTTCTACGAGCGTTCGCCACACAAGATGGTGCGTCAACGAAAATTTATCCACGTTCAAAGCCAAAATATAATCGTCAATTTCTTTATGCATCCGCGGATATTTTTTAACGAAACCCAACTATATATTTGGTGCAAAATTCGCTTCAAGTGTTTCTATTGAAATTGACGAATTGGCTCAATTAATAATGAAGTGCTGCAACATACTAATTCAACTCATCTTTGTTTACAGACGAAAGGTACCTCGAGTTTTGGTAAACGCCACAATAAGACGCACACCCTGTGCCGTCGTTGTGGCCGATCCTCCTACCACATCCAGAAATCCACTTGCGCCCAATGTGGCTACCCCGCAGCCAAGTTGCGTTCATGTAAGTCGCACCCGCATCCCAACTCCCCCCACTCTCATATGCCAATACTAATTATGTGTTCATCTTATTAGACAACTGGTCCGTGAAGGCCAAGAGGAGGAAGACCACTGGCACCGGCCGCATGAGCTATCTGAAGGTTGTGCGTCGTCGTTTCCGCAACGGATTCCGCGAAGGCACCCAGGCTAAGCCCAAGAAGGCGCAGTCCGGCAAATAGGCGCCAAGCTAATTGGGCCACCCGCAAGCGCTCTATATAACTACAACAAATTAGCAGCAACAGCTGCTGCAACAAGAGCAAACAAAATTCTTACTCCAATCATCGGTTGGAGTTAATAAATTTACTTTTTTTTCATTAAGTGAACAAATAGATGTGCTTATTTTTTTCTGTGGATTTGTGTAAAAAAAAAAAAAATGAAATATATCAGGCTCAAAAGGCGCCGCAACAACAAGTGAAAACAGCTAAAGACTATATAAATGTGCTAATTTTATTTGATTAGTTTTTTCTTTTGTTTTTTTTTTTTTTTTTTTTTTTTTTTTTTTTTTTTTTTTTTGTACTGTGAACTGCAATTGGGAATCGTGGCTGGCTTTACGCTGGCCGTGCACTGTTGTTGCGGCACCCTTTTTCTTACCATGCTACGTTTTAAGGGGGCGCAACCTTCTCTGGTTTACAGCTGCACTGGATTAGCTGTCAGAGCTTAAGGGCATGCAAGTTGTGACACGTTTAATAGGAAATCATTTGGGCTATCTTCCCCAACTGTTGCTATGCTTGGAATGATCCAATTGGAGGCATAAACACATTGCGACAAACTCTGCTTAAATGTATGTGTGAGCATGTTGTGGAAAGCGATGTTGCTTTCTCGCTCGCACTGCTTTGGCGCTTGGATTGCCTCGATTCACTAGGATAACGCCGACGAGTGTTAGAGGAGTGCAGAACGAACTTTGACAGCATTTACTATACTTCAGTTTGTGCCTTTGCATTCTGATTCGTTGACAATATCCAGTTGGCCAATTGACACCGGATTTAGTGATTCCCTGGTACTTACTTTGTAATAAGAGTTAACCTAGTTGGGCAAATCAAACATACTGCTTGTTGCCATAAACTGGAATCAAAATGTTATCTATTTAGTGAGCGTATGCCAATATGATGAGAGCAGATAGACGATATAATAATAGGCTGTTTCCTAATACTATATTAAATAATATATGTATTTGAGTGTTATGCATTTCTATTCTGTCTAATTACCTATAAACGTTCATGTTTCGATGTAGGTGACTATAACGTATAACTCATGTGTATATCGTAATTTAAATTTGATAATAGACGTGTTGCGTATGGTTTAGTTTTCTAGCTAGGAGATCTTTGAGGTATTCTTTGCCGAGCTCCAGGCTTGTAGGAACATTGAGATCTCGTTCTATATCCCTTATGTTCATGTACCAGTAGAACCCAGGCTTTTTACTTGTAGCACACGCAGTTTTTTCAAGTGGGTGTTGGCAGCAATACGAAACATTTGGATGAATTTATCTAGTATCAGTTTGTTTGTTCAATTTGGAATTGACTTATAGCGTCAAGCTGAATTTCTAGACCTCATTTGATTGTTTTCTTGTTGTATTTATATGTAAGTTCAATGTTATTATTATTTTCAGTTCAAATGCTACAGAAAATTTTATATTAGATGAGGTGTAATTACCAATATAATATGAAGCTGTTGAACCACTTGATAACGAATGTGCCTTGGTTCCGAGACAATAATAGCAGATTCAGAATCAGCATAGATATAAATTGATACTTTTATGTATATGTATCGTAGCTTCTCAGGTAGCACAAAAAGCAGTTTTGCCATATAAAAAAAACGAGTGATGAACCTTCAGCTTTACTTGAGAAATAAAGCAGATAAACGACTGCTTGCAAGCAGTGCAAAGTAATATATGTATATATGTGCGTAAATATCAGAAGGCGATTTATAAAACTCGCCCAAAAGTAGACTCCATAGAAAAGATCTCTCGCTTATAGTTAAAAGTACAGTATATGTACGTGCTGCACGATTTTATTAGAGTAGGAGAAACAAAAAAAAGTAAAAATTAAGGTACAAATAAAATAAAGCGCTTTCGACCTGGCTTACAATTAGGTATATCGTACATATATATATATAGAGACTTTATAGCAAAGCAGGATGATGGTAAAACAATAAAAAAGCAGCGATCGGTTAATTTATGACTATGAAAAAAAAAGAACAACAATCTATTGCTATCTCTCTCGTTCTCTCTCTTTTCGGAATGACTAAAAGTACAATTTACAACGTATAAAGCGTTTCACTATGACTAAGGGTAGGGTATTCGGGCAGTGGGTGTATGCGCACAGGAATGGGCGGTAGGGTGTACGGGCGTCGGCTTAGGCGAATTAAATACATTGCGACTAAATGCTAAGACAAATTTACAAAATACAAACACACGCAGATCGATTAGCTGGCTAATCGGCATGCGGATGCGGATGCGAATGCGACTGCGGATCTGTTGACGGACGCTCCTGCGATTGTGGGGTATCCGTTAGCTGGGAGGCAGTGCTGGACGTCGTCGCCGGCGCCTTCGACTTGATCGCCGGGCTGCTTGATGGGCGCTTGATGAGCAGCTTCTTGAGGTTCTGGAAGGGCGCATCGAAGAGCACCGTTAGCGCTACGGAGGCCAGAAAGATCGAGATAAATTCGTTGGTATCGAGCTGGAAGCATGGAAATAGATGAAGAGGTTAGTGATTTTCTGATTTTGAATAGAGAGTTAAGTTCGACTAGATAAATAAATCGATATAGCATATACTCACAATAATCGAGACAAAGTTGTAATAGTGATGTATGTGACGCCTTCGTCCGACGTTGAAGAAGAAGACGGGGAATTGCGTGAGGTAAATGGCGTAGGACAGCTTCGTGGATACCTGAAAGCCGCGCCAGCTGAACAGTCTGGTTAGTTTATCTGTAATACGAGAGGCAGGGTATTGTTTAGTCGAGCAATGTGAGGTGGCTGCATGTCAATTCACTCACTCTTGTAGCCATTGTGTGAGACGAAGACGATCCAGGAGAAGAACAGGCACCAGGCAATCGGCGCAAAGGCTGCATAGATCGCCGCATGGGTCGAGTTGTAGACGTAGCTAATATGCCCCATCGGAGCGGGTCCCAACAGGGAGGCGAGCACACAGACGGTCGCTGCCAGCCAGCCCAGGCGCAACTGCAGACGACTCAGCTGGACGCCTTGGTACTTGCGCAGCGCATAGCCCAGCAGGATGCCCATGATGTAGACCGTCGAGCGGTGCGGGGGGAACGAGTACATGTAGTCCGCGGTGCGGAACAGACGCTGAATGCTGACGTAGGCAAAGAGGCAAATGGACAGAAAGGGAGAGAGAGAGAGAGAAAAATCAATATATATAGAGCATAGGAAGGGAAATGATCAGCAATATATATAGGGTTAACCGTTACTCACTTGGTGCCAAAGTATATGTAGTTGGAGAGCTGATTCACAATGGTCGTATAGTAGCGTGCCGCCGTGCCTATCGTGCAGAGGAACAGCAGGGCGAGCAGGCCGCGACGTGGCCAGCGCCAGAGCACAAAGATGAAGAGCGGCGCCACGGCGAACAGTTCCGTATCGATGCCCAGATGGTGGGTGTGGGTGAGACACATCTCGCTGAAGCCGAAGTAGTTGTGGATGAAGAGCAGGTTGCGCCACCAATGCTGCTTGCAAATGTCCGCATGGTGCCCCACCACCAGGTTCCACTGCGGCCCGGAGCCCCACAGGGGCAGGACGTAGGTGCAGAAGAGTATCAAAGCAGCCAGAGGCGGCACGATGCTGGAGAGGTAACAGAATTACAATAATATGAAAATAAGCATGAGTAGTCGACTAGCAAACACCCTGCCATGCTGAGTACTTGTAATACCCTGTAAATCTAGTCTGCCCAACTTACCGCATCAGGCGACTGATGTACTCGTTCTTCAAGCGTATCGGCTGCTGCTTCATCAGTCGTCCGAACAGCGAATACGACGTCAACATGCCGCTGAAGAGTAGGAACGGGTCCGTGTAGAGGGAGGCGGCGCGTCCGATGACCGTCCAGGGCTGGCCCAGGCTCTCCGACATGGCCGTGCGATTATTGTACGGATTGAAGAACATGGCCATCGATTTGTGCGAGAAGATGAGCATCATGGCGTTCAGGAATCGAATGCCATGCACGGCTTCGATGTCGCCTGGCGAACTGTTCGTGCTGAACAGCCAGCGCAGATTCTTGTCCAGCGAGAAGGCCGTACACCACTCATCTTTACGGGTATACGGGGGCAGTTTATATAGTATCGATGCGAATAGGATAGGACGGCTTGCTGCACTTACTCTGCTTTGGCTGCGTCTTGGTGCTGCGATCGTACACCGTGGAGAGAACGGCCACGCAGAGCACCAGCACAAAGAAGCGCACCGCCCAGGTGGTGTTGCGGTCCCAGGGCTGGGGATCGCGCACCTGGCACATCTTCGGCTCGACGCGCACTTGGAACGTGATGCCCGTGGCGGTGGTCTGGTTGCGCAAATACTCGGCCACACTGTACTCAACATCGCGATGCGTGCAGCCCGATGGCACGCAGATGCCCCAATTGACCAATGAATAGCGAGGCACGCGATGTCCAGGCTGAGAGAAAGAGAAAGAGAATGAAAGAGACGGATAGTGAGTGGGTCTAGTTACATCCTGTTCACGATATCCAATTAATCTCGTTTTAAAATCGAAATATTTGCTAATAAGAATGCAAGAGAGAGACAGACATATAGAATATATGTAATAAATTATCATATATGTGTATCATTAAGTTTATTGCCCAAGAATTTTTGGATTCCGCTGCTAGATTTACAAGAATTTCCTACAACGCAGATCTGCAAAACCGTCATCAAATCTGGCTTAGTAAAAAATAGAAACCGCTCTATGAGGTTCACTGAACCTAAGCCGTTTGGCTGGTCGCTGATTAACATATTATGACAATCAGCGTTTTCTCTACTCTGTTTCTATTTAGCTTTTTTGTGTGGCGAAATCAAATCGAACATTTCGCTTTGCTCGTACTTTTCGCCAAGTTCAATGTCGAACTTGCCGCAAAGCTGTTGCCATCTCGCTCACGCCAACGATGCGGCGAAATTATTTGAACGAAAGCGCAACTAACTTTCCTGAGGTAATTTCTACCTACCTACATGCATACATATAAATGTCGCCGCACCTAGGCACACACATATGTATGTATATACAAGTAAACATACAAATGAATGTGTGTATGTGTGCAACTGAGTATAGTCGCCATTAATGGCTTTAATCCAATTGCAATCGCAGTCACGTGCTAAGCGCGCAACTTCGAATGCATCAATTGGCCAACGAACTTGAGCGCTGCACATAAAAGGCATACAAAATATGTATGTATGTATATGTATGTAAGTAGTTATAAGTACTAATAAAAGCCTAGGTTAAGTCCAGATAAGCCGAGATTCTGTAAATGACTGTCATGCCAATATTAAATTGAAATGAGCGTGCGCGCGCAACACTGATCTGTCGCTTTCACTCGCTCAACTGCCGCCAGTCATTTGCATATGTCCCATATACATACATACATATGTATGTATTGTTCCCGCTTGCTTTACTTACGTCATTGAATTCGCTGCGGAAGGGCCCGTGCGATTGCAGTAGCTCGAAGAACGCTTGCAGTCGCTTCGATTTGTGTGGCAGCACTGGCTGTGCATACGCCAAGCAGTATTGGCCGCGCAGCTGTGAATTCGCCGGGCTGCCATCGGTGCCGTCATCGAATGTTTGCTGTATGCCCATGCACTGATCGAAGTCGCCCGGCTGGTTGATGTTGCCATTGAGAATGCCCGAGTTCAATTTGCCGCTAGCGTCGTGCACTGCAAGAAAGAGCTTATTAGTTGAGACTGCCCCCATCATCACGGGCAACAATAACAACAGCAGCAACAAAGCAGCGACCTTGACTGTGATTTCAATGAGAGCGCGCGAGCGCATCGCGTTCTGATTGGAGATGGACAGCAACACGCACGAGCCGATAGCACGCACGCAAGCAAATAAATAATTAAATAACTAATATATAAATTTAATTAAATATAAAGATGTTAATATAGAATCAATATTAGTATATCGAATTAGTAAGTTATTATTTAGTTGTTTTTTTTTTTTTTTTCATTTTGTTGCATTCTGCAACTACGCGATCATTCGTGCCTTTCACGTGTCACGCGCTCAGCTCTAGTTCTATGCAGCCAGCTGGTCGCAGTTTGGGGCCAAGTTCGCACAGTCTTTGTTGTTGTTATGTTACAGTCGTCGTTGTTGTTGTTGCTGCTGCTACTGCAATTTGCTGCAGTTGGCTTAAATTCAGCTGTTGCGTTTGACATTGTTGCGGCTGTCGCTGCTTGATTCGCGCAAATGTGGGTAAAGTTCGACGCTTGACCTTCACTTTAGCCGCACGACACACACACACACATGAATATGTGCACATATGTGTGTGTTTACAATTTCAGAACTTGATTATTTGATTCATTTGACTTTGCACTCTTTCAATTCATGTCGTCGCGTCTGCGATTCTCGCCAGCCTCTTAGCCCGGTTGGCAATGACTCGAATTCTGAGTCGAGTTGCCACAAAACACACACATACACACACACACACACACACACACTCATTCACAGCGCACTCGGATACTTACTTTTCAAGGCCCACAGATCAAAATTGTTTAACGCCTGCATATAGCGTCGCATGTGGGCGCGACAAAGGGGCGAGGCATTCGGATTACGAGCGGCATCGAAAGGCTGCGAAAAGGCCAAGAAGCGTTGGCCAATGTTGTACAAATAAACTGTAAAAAAAAAAAAATAAAAGTATAACATTTCAAATGAATTCCAAGCTAATTCAAATTTGCCGCCCTCTAGCGGCGGGCATTGCAACTGACTGACACTTGCAGCATTCAAGGAGCTGCCAACTTTATCACAGCGCGCCAAAGGAGTTCAAATTTGAATTCAAAAGTTAAATAAATGAATAAACTAATGGCAATTTGCGATTGAAAAAGCATTTATTACTTCTTTTATGATTCTCTTATATGCGTTACGCTTAGTTCATTGATAAATTTATTGATTGATCGTTAACAGCCTTTTTGGTTAATGCGACGCGTGCCCGCAAACAGGAAGCGAACTGATGTCAGCCGCAGTTGGCAACGCGACGCAGAGCTGCTGCAGGCCAACAGCTGTTGACTGCATAGAAATTGTTGCTAATGAGGCGCCACGCAATTTGGCTGCCATTAAACTTATTCTTCTTCTGCTTCGGCTGCTGACTTCATTAATATTTTGTGTGTTTCATTATTATTATTATTTATTATCTATGGCATGCGTGCGTGCCAACGCTAAACAGATACCCCAGCCCAATTTCTATTCCAATTGAAATCGAATTCCAGTTGGATTGCGATCAGCATGCTGTGCGCAATTGTTGAGCTTTGTTCTTATTAGCATTATCATTATCATTACTGAACTGTCGTCTGTCGATGTCGCTGCTGCTGCTGCTGCTTCTTCTTCTTCTTCTTCTCATTCAGCACAGTTTTTGCTGTTGCTGCTGTTGTTTTTATGCTCTAAGCTTAAAATCTTCAGCGTGCTACTCATTTGCCATTCCATGCGAGTCGCTTCGACAAATCTGTCAGCTATTTTGCCCGCCTGCATCCGTCTTGGGGCTGTCGAAGTCGCCAGGCGTGGCAGCCAACAGAGGGTCTGGGGAGGTGGCAGGCTGGCGGTGGCATTGTTGCTCAACTGGGCAGTCCCCAAACAGTGAAAATGCGTCAGACACGCGACGACAAGCGAAGACTGCGGAATCTTATTAAGCCCCTGTCGTCATATTCTATATGCATATGCGATAATCCGCAATGAAATCTAAAATAGCAGCTGTGAGCCAGACAGACGAATGGACAGACATCCGAGCACTAGGCGACTGCAGTATGCCCTGATCCATGGTGATCGATAGCTATATAGCTATCGATCATTTTATCGAAATATTATAGTTTTAACTAGTTTTGAAATTTAGTAGACCTTAGCTCGGCAAATAAACGCAGTTTTTTTTAAACTGTGCCAAACAAATTACCGATAAACTGTGTATCTAGAAATAATTTTTACAATTCTTAGAAATTTTGTAAAGCTGTGATATAGTTCGATATCTAAGCATATATTAATTGAAGTATTATTTCTGTTTTCATTTAATTTTATAATTAATTCAAAGCCCTAGAAATCTGAATTATGCAAACAGTGTAGACATTATGCATGCTCACATTTGTATAATCATTCCCGACTATTTATATGTATGTACATCTATATAGACTTTTAGACAAGGAAGAATTGAGTATTCTATGGCCAATCGGTACTCGTAAATCTTTAGTTTGGGCTGACCGCATGATGTGCCTTGCATGACAAATGCGATCGCTGCTATCGTAGCAAGATGTTAAACCAGCTATTTCTGCCTTTTCGTCATCCTCATCTGTCGTCTAGTCAGTTGAAAATCCAGGCGAAACAAAAGTACTTAAAGAAATGCTAATTAGCTGAGTATAGCAGAGCTTGCGTAATACAGCATCGATGGATTATTATTAAAAGTATTATATTAAGGAATTTGAATAATCTTAGCAAAATAATGGCATATTTATTTTGGGTCTATATCGATCGATATTTTATAGGCATACATTCAGAATTTCAAACGTAGCATAAAAAGCAATCGCCCTCTCGTTCTCAGCCTCTCTCTATATGTTAGTGACTTTGTTCCTCTCTCTCTCTTTCTCTCTCTCTCTCTCTCTCTCTCTCTCTCTACCTCTGTCTCTCTCATATTTTTATCATCTCTTGATTCTTACATTATTTGATTTATGATACAAGAATTGCAAATTCTTTTTAGCAACGGATCATGACAACGCATCTTTGTTTGTTTATCGATCTTCGGACTTATCGAATGAATGAATTTTGTTTTTTTTTCTCTCTCTGTTTCTTTTTTATTTGGTCTTTTCTTGTGTTTTTGTTATGTTGGCTGCCAATTAGCATTACTCCCAAACAGCATGTTTACTAAAGAAATTTGCAGTTTAACTGATATACCCTATAAATGGAATATTTAAAAAATATATGTACCTATGTCATTCATTTATATTTATTACGGTCATATGAACTGCAATTAAAAGATGTATTCAGTCGAAATTTCGTATATAGATCAAGTAATACTGATCTTGTTAAGCAGAAATCCTAAATACCACATGGTAAACTTGTGCAGGGTGTGCTCTATCTTTAGCAATGCTCAATTACGATCACCATTTAATATGAATGGGCATTCTGAGTACTCTATTTGCAATATCTAAACGCTGATTGATATGGTTAATAAACGCTGCAGTTGATGAGCTCCTGAGTGTTGAGCAACCATTCTGCCAGATCATCATTGCCATCATCATCATGAAYAAAATGTTAATTGTCATCATAAACAATAATCAAAGAGTCGGAGACGAAGTGCTCTTGAGGCTTTATGACCCGATGCCTGGGCATGCGAATCGAGCGAATCGAGTTTTCAGCTCAAAAGCCCAAAGTCACGATGGCAGTTGCGAGGCTGAGCGTGTGGCTAGCTGCATGTAATGTTTGTCCAGTGTTGTTTAACGCCAAACAGACCAAAAACTGTTTGCCTGCAATTAGTTGACCATTTGCGTGACTCACAGCGTTTTGTCAATAGCTGAGCATAGAGATTCGCATGTAACATGAGTTTGTTCTTTCAATCTAGTGTTGATTAACGCCAAAAGAGTGGGTAGTGTTTACAAATGCATATTGTGTTTACATATGGATTGAAGTGAGACTTAGAGACTTAGAGAGAGAGAGAGAGAGAGAGAGAGAAAGAGAGAGAGAGAGCGAGAGAAATATAGATGTATATAGAGACTGAAAGAAAGAGACGCAGAGAGAACTACCGACTGAAAGAAGGCTAGATAGCGAGAGACACAAAGACAGAGAGAAACTGACAAGCAAAGAGAGAGAGAGAGACAGAGAGATACCGAAAAATATGATCGCTATAACGTCTAAGAAGACAGAATGACTTTGTCTTCTGTTATATATTTACAGTGAAAGAGAGAGGCAGTGATACAGAGAGAAAGAGAGGCAGAGAGACACACACAGAGAGAGAGAGAGAGAGAGAGAGAGAGAGAGAAAGAGAGCTGGCAGTTAGTTCATTGTCCATTTAAGAATTTCTTAGATGATTCCCAAAAGTTGAGCTACACATTTAAAGCGGGGATCTACATGTGGACATATGGACAGATAAATATCTAGAATAAACTAAATCCAATTCGGGTCCGATGCACAATGCTTCTTTCCACTGCGCTTATTTGACTTAGGACTTAACAGCGAGGCCGAACCTTTTAGCAAGAATTCGTTGGCAACAATTGAAGCTGAGTGAGACGAGGTTGGAGAGACCCAGCCAATTGGAGATGTTAAGTGAGTGGAGAGCCGTGACGCATCGAGCCGGAAGTTGAGGCCAAACAAGTGGCTCGGCCTACGTACAAGCGTACCTACGTACATCAGCATTTTATCGCGCTTGTGCCCTTTATCATAAACGCCATATCATCTTATTGACAATTTTCGTATATTATGTGGTCTGCCCACAAAGTTATTA